AAGTCATTGACACACCAGCTCCATTAGTTGGTCTCCAGACTTAAGGATCCGACAACTTCAGGATAAGATCCATACATACAGATGAATCAGCTTTAACAGCTGGTCCTGCAGCCTCAATATTTGAGACCGCCATGCTCCAACACCTTAGGAGCATAAACTGTGTAGGCACCGGTCAACGCGTTGTGACGAAAGTCAAAGCCGGTTAACGCGTTGTGATGAAAGTTAACACTGGTCTACGAGAAACCCTAAGGTTAACGTCAGTCAACGTGTAGCCTAGGTTAACGCTAATCAACACGTTACGATGAAAGTTAACACTGGTCAACGCGTTGTGATGAAGGTTAACGCCGATTAACGTGGTGTGATGAAAGTCAACACTGATTGACGCGAAACCCTATGGTCAACACCGGTCAACGCGTAGCCCTAAGTCAACACCGGTCAACGCGTAACCCTAGGTCAATGCCAGTCAATACGTTGTGATAAAAGTCAACATCAATCGATGTGAAACCCTAAGGTCAACGCCGGTCAACGCGTAGCCCTAGGTCAACACCAGTCAACGCGTTGCGATGAAGGTCAACGCCGATTAACGCGTAGCCCTAGGTCAACGCCGGTCAACGCATAATCCAGTGTTAACGCCGGTCAAAGCATTACGAGGAAGATAGTTAGTTCAAAGTCAACTCAATGATACGAGCCAAAACCAACTCACCAATTTCGATTAGAGACTTTGACGACGGCCAGACGATAAACGCCGGAAGAATTTTAGCTATTCGTCAAAATTTTGAATAGATCGAAAATTGAAGAAGTCAAGAATCGAAGCCAACTACAGATCCTTTCTCACCGACTGAAGGTTGGACCGATCACATCCAAAGTATTTCAGGCTCTTCTATAAAAAAATGAGACTGAAATACTTTGGAGGGGGTATCTGTAGGCGTCAAAAATTACCCACGGATTCCCGTATGCGGCTCATAACAGAGAGAAGATGATAAACGTCACTATTCGGGTCACAAAAGCTTAATTGATGTTCATGAGCACATGAAACAAGTTGACGAACCGTGCGAAGCAACGAAACTGCAGAATAACGAAGATACGAACTGATCGGGAGCTACGCTTCGCTTACGAAAAATAAAGTGCCTCTTGTGTCCCATTTACTCTATGTATGATTCAACCAATGTAAGATTGTAGATCATTTTGTGAGCTTTCTAACGTACCTTGGATCACTTCATTCCGAGATCGTACGAGAAAGTTAGAATCAAAATAAAGCCAGTGTCTCAGCCAGGGCCGAGACTGTCTCGGCCAGGGTTAGACTGTCTTGGCCCTGGTAGAGACTATCTCTCTTTAAATATGAAAATATCAAAAAATCAAAGTTATATATTTCTCCTCCAGCTTTCCAATGAATCCTAGATAACTTCATTCCAAGGTCGGATGAGAGAGTTAGAGGCAAAACAGTAGAGAGACACTTGCATTATCTCGGCCAAGACCGAGACAGTTAGACTGTCTCAGCCCTGGTAGAGACTATCTCGCTCTGAATCTAAAGAAGCTCAAAAGTTGAAAGTTGTATATCTCCTTGTTAGATTTCCAACTCATCTTGGACTAACTCATTCTGAGGTCGTATGAGAGAGTTAAAGGCAAAATAGCAGAGAGACACTTGCACTGTCTCGGCCAAGGCCGAGACAGTTGGATTGTCTCGGCCCTGATAGAGACTGTCTCACTTTGAATCTAAAGAATATCAAAAGATAAAAGTTGTAGATCTCCTCGTTATCTTTCCAACTCATCTTGGATCAACTCATTCTAAGATCAGATAAGAGAGATAAAGCCAAAATACTAAAGATAGTACAAACTGCTTTGGAATTCCAAGACAGTGTTTATGTTTCGGAGAAGAATGTAGATTTCGGACATGCTTCAATTTGAATATGAAGAAACTGAAAACACAAAAATTGTAGATATCTTCATCAACTTTCCAACACATCTTGAATAACTCCATTTGGAGATCATATAAGAGAGTTAGAGGCAAAACAAACAGAGACACTCTGAGTGTCTCGGCCAAGGCTGAGACACCTTGAGTGTCTCGGCCATGACCGAGACGAGACACTCCAAGTGTCTCGGCCAAGGCCGAGACACCACAGGTGTCCGCAGGCTCCAAAAAGTCGTTTTACGCAGTTTTGAGCCGTTTTTCGATCATTAACCACCTGAATTTGTTTTAACTAATCTAATATCATCCAAGAACGTGAAAAGTGGTTACAACTGAGGATAAGGGCAAATCGTTCATTCTTATCCGAATGACCGAGACACTCCAAGTGTCTCGGCCAAGGCCGAGACACCACAGGTGTCCGCAGGCTCCAAAAAGTCGTTTTACGCAGTTTTGAGCCGTTTTTCGATCATTAACCACCTGAATTTGTTTTAACTAATCTAATATCATCCAAGAACGTGAAAAGTGGTTACAACTGAGGATAAGGGCAAATCGTTCATTCTTATCCGAAAATAGGGTTCCTGAAGCCTATAAATACAGCTCTAGGGCCTTCATTTGCACAGATATGAAATTCTCGAGCGTCGGCGAAGCCCTGCTGAATTGAAGATTGAAGGAGCACGAATTTTAGAGGAGAGGAGGAGATTGGATCGAGTTCATCAGCACAAAGAAAAGAAGCTCGTCAGATCTACAGTTCCCAGTTCCTTCCCTTGAGATTGCCCCATTACGGTGATCTCGAGAAGAGTGAGTGTCTCGCTGTTGCCGAGATAATTGCTTCAGTTTCTTGATTCCTTCGCGAATCAATGAAACTCCGGATCGATCTGATCGTTTGGTGGTTCACAGATATCAACGTCCCCGTCATAGGCCAAGATCCCACGCAAGCAGCGGAGGATAAACGTCCGTTGCGTTTGTTTAAAAGAAAGTTGTAATCTTTGTTGAAAGTCTTATAAAAAGACTATTTCTTTGAGTTTGTTGTAAACGCTTAAAGTTGTAATGAACTCGTCAACAAAATTAATTTTCTCCTCAAACACCTTCGCCTGAACGCAAGGGTCGCATTCCCTCTTGCAAACGCGAGGGTCTCTCCTCGTGCGAACGTGAGGGTTGCTCCTCGTGCGAACGCGAGAGTCACGTTCCCTTGCTGCGAAGTGGCCTGCGAGGCAGCTTGCGTGGCGGCCAACTAGCCCCGATTTCTCCGTGTGAAGTGTAAAGTGCAAAGTGCACCTTACAAAGCGCCACTTAGCGCCTCAGCCCGTTAGCCCTGATCCCTAGCCTATTGGCCCACAACCCGCTAGTACTTATGAGGGATTAATTGATTTATTTAAACAAAAATAATTCTCAGCTTGTGGTTGGCAAGCCTCGAACTAAGGACCTTTGTAACACCAAAATATTTTTTTCCACTAGGCTATTAAGGATTTCAAAAAATATCATGTGTGTGTGTATATATATATAGTTTGAAAACTTATTTTGGAAAGTGGTTTTGACCAAAAAATCTAACAATAATATGCAACGGATCGAGAGTACGCTACTCCATCACTTCCATCTCTGCCATTTTCGCTTGGAGAGTTAACTACTTGAGATTGGGCATCATCTGCAGAAGTCATCTTCATCTCTATTATATTCCTGGGATTTTTGCGGAAGAGGCTTGCTAGATCTT